TCGGCACCAAACAACCTGAGTTCCCAGGCAAATGCTACACCTACATTAAGTTACTCTTTTTGTTTTGCATTTAAATTAATTGTGCATCTGGAACTTCGAATATTGCAAACAATTTTGGGCACGGAATTCAGTTAACACGCATGTATTGTGTTTGATTTGGGAAATATTTGAGGATTTATTTTATAATTTGACAAGTTGGACTGAAAAATGAGAGCATAATATGGTCATAGAATGGCAATTTAATCAATTTGTGCTTATAAGTATATTTAATCTGCGGTTCTTCATTTTTTTGCTTTGCCTTTTAATAAAATTATGTAAACAACTTTCAATGGCCATAATACAAAATCAATTTGCCGGCAAAGCAAAAGTTGAGCAGAAAATTTTAATAAGCCCTTACTTGGAAGTTTACAAGTACACATAAAGGCCAATGCATAGAGGATGACATTTATGTATGCAAATATATATATGTGAGCTATAGATGTGCATATATATGCTTTGCCATTACAGAATAGTTGTGTCTGTTAAAGTTGCAAACGGGCTTAAAAACAACGACAGACAAAACTCGACGATGATTATGTCAGAGGAAAGCAAATAAAGCCTTTGCTGTCCCTTTTTGTTGTTGTGTGTGGACTTTTACCATGCGCATTTTTAGATTAATTAGATACAATTATTTTATGTTTTCAACTTGCGGGCAAAGTAGTAATTGGCATATTATATTGGTAAAATGTCGACCACGCATCTAAGCGATTTTATACATACATTAAATATATAGAAGAAATCACCCCTCGTCGCTCGGCTCGAATCTATATTGCTGAGAATGCAAATGGTACCAAAATTGTTGTTTGTATTTCCCGCCATCTTCAGACCTAATACGTGCCTACGCATTATTTATGTTAATTGACAATCCATTAAAAATGAAACTGTAAAAATCAAGGTTGTCGTATCCACTTTGTGAATGATAACAAATTAAATAAACATTAAATTAAAATTGCCTTAGCCTTACAGGCTCATGAGGTTACTTATTTTAGATGCTTTCATGGCACAGTTGAAATTTTCTTTCCTTTTCTTCCACTTCCAAAAAACCTCTCTTGCTTTCGACCTAAAAAGCAGATTCAGTCAAAATTTCAACTATCTCACCCTACAGTCCCTCAGTTATTTAGTCAGGGCAAACTCTTTATATATATATATCCGAAATGTGTGACACACCCCTTAAATGCATTCAAACAAAGATCTTTGAAAATGACTTTAAGGCCGTGCGAATGGTGCGCAAAAATGTTTTATACAAACGCCTTTCGAGATTTTTCCACACTTCCCGGTGAAATTACCCAAAACCCCGTCTTAGTGTGCACCTTCAGCACATAACCACAAACAGAATTTCTGCTTCTTAGCTCTTAATGTTTGGGCTGTGCATTGATTACCAATCAATCCGTCAGTCAATCGGTCAGTCAGTCAGGACAACAGTTTTATATATACAGCTTACTAAACGAAATTACCAGGCGTTGCAAGTCTTAAAATATTGCTTTACATCATATTTTACTTAAATAGTTTGCGCCAACTTCAGGCAGTTAGAAAGTCTTTCACGCGACTATGTACTTGATCTGGGAGCGTGCAATTGAGATTCCAAGTCAAAATATGACATTGTTTTTAAAAAGCTGACTAAATCGCCTGATTAGAGATTGTTTGATTTGCGTTGGTCAGTTCTGCAAGAAGCTGCACAGAGCATGTACATCCCCGCATCTCTACATCCAACTAATTTTTCTGCGTGCCATTTGTCTATCAGAATCAATCAAAAACTGAACTTCCTGTGATTATTATGTTTACAAGGCAAGCACTACGGCGAGTAAGCTTCTCACATCTAAACCAATGCGAACTTCTGCTGGTCCGAAATGGCAATCTTCTAATATAACGTTGGCTTAACTGCTGCGTTGTTGAATCGTAGAAGTTTGCAAGCTTATTTAATTGCACAGTATAAGAAAAGGTAAGACATTTTTGGTTTCACTTCGAAAAGTTGGACTTGCTGGACTCGAGCTCTGTTTGTGTCATATAACTTCAAGAAACTTTCCGCGGCACCGCTTTGCATGAAGCAAGGAGAGTTGTGTACAAAAAATGTGCATTCAATTCGAACTTCTTGAGTCTTATAAAAATCCATTTAACGCGAATTGTTCTGAAATTGTGTACACTTTAAGATGCGTGTGTGTGTGTGTGTTGTCTACTTTGAGTACTTTAAGTTGAGTTTAAGATCTGAACTGGCCGCAAGGCAAACACACAACGCAGCTGGCCCGCCCTGAATTTGCATAAACTAATACAAAATTCCATTTGGCCATTTACCCTAACGATGATCATTAAAGATATGCCAAGGCACAAGTCGTGTGTCCACAACTTAACGTTATTACGAGGTATTTCATATAGTATATATGTTTCATATACGTATATATTGTCTGCTTCTAGCGCTTGTTGTCAACTGAAACAAAACGGCAATAAACTGCGATTGGTAAAAGTTGGCGTTAGATGATAAAAAGCGCACGGAAAAGTTAAAACATGAAACAAGTTGTTCGAATATGTACTATATATACTATATGCTGACATATATATGTGCATATATATGTATATATTTGTATACATGGTGTAGCTTTGCATTTGGACTGGAAGAGGAAAAACATTCAGTCAGGCAACTTTATGACAAAATTTTGAGTCTAACCACTGCACTGTGGTCAAGCGGAATGATTAAGTTTAACAACTTAAGCAAATGCTTTGCTTTAATTAAAATACAAATTTCATTTCTTTTTTCTTTAAATATATGTGTGCACATTTTCTATTCCCAAGCAAATAACGAAATTATTTCAACACTTTCCGTTTAACTTATAAGCAAAAACTTGAGCTTTGTTTGCTTCTAGGGTTTGTCATAATAAACACATTTTATTGACTTTCTCTTTGTTTTTACCATAAGGCAAAACTTTAATCATAACAATTGACCACAAAGAAGAAACATGTGACCAAAAATAGTGTGAATATTGCCCACAGTGCACCGTAGTCGGTTAGGTTTCTACTCCGTTTCGTGTAGCATACTTTTGTGCGCTTTTAGCTGGACAGCACCTTGCTGAGATTTGCTTTTGCGTGAGTTCTGCGCTTAGTTTACACTTCATTTGAATGCGGCAGCAACTATGATCTAATTCAATTGCTTTGGTATACAAAAAGTATATCATTTGTATACATATAGACAGACCTCTTTAGAAGTCGATGTACATGAATTTATGCTGATTCACAGCAGTTCGAGTCGTTGAGTGTGCCCTAGGCAATTTATATTATTTGCAGATCAGCTTTGTTTACTAAACTGTTAAAGAAACTTGTAAGCATAGTAATTTATTTATTATTTGTTTGGCTACCTGTTGGCATGCACGAGCCTTTTAAGCTTGGCATCGAAGTTGAGTTTATCTGGACAGACAAATATCAATATACTCATATTCATTTAGGAGCACTGTATGCAAATATTTACATATATATACTTACTGTCCAATTATTCCAATCAAAACTATATAAGAAGCACCCTAGCCTAATTCACTTAAGCTTGGAAAGGTCTCAAAAAATTAACCAAAACTACGTGCCTAAAACTCAATTTCGTGACACTTTGAGGGCAACAAACGAACAATCAAACCAGTTTAATTCCTTGCTAAAAATAGCAATACCATTAAATCTGTCGCCATTTGTATTTCCAGCCAATTGTTTAACCAACTTTGCGGGCAAGTAAAAAAAAATGTGTATGATTTTGGGTACTTGTTGGCGCAAATATTTGAGTTTCGCTGCAATTTGGGACTTGGTCGCAAAGGCGAAGGCCGATCCTGGCATGTAGACTAGGCCCCCGATGGAATCGCTATACCCATCGACATAGTTCGTACCCCGTCACCACCTCCACCACCGCCAACATCATCCCACCATCAACGCAGCTGGTCACGCTTGACAAACTTTACATAATTGCTTGGGCCGAAACAAAAGCAATTTGCATAGCTTATAAACGGGTTACGAATTACTACGGGTTGTCTGTGTGTGAGTGTGTGGGTGTGTATTGGTGTGTGTGTGTGTTGTGTGTTTTGGTGCGTTTGTTCGTGTGTTGTATAAACACTCCTTTGAGTGCTTTTGCCAACAACAATTAAATCAGTTAAATTGCGGTTGTTTTTGTTGTTGTCATTTGGGCCACAAGGCGCGGCTGAAAATTAAATGTTAAACACACTCAAAAATAATAACATAATACAAAAAAAAACGGTATTTATATTGATAATGATAAAAACAATGATTAAGTAATAATAATAATAATAATAATAATAATAATAATAATAATAATAATAATATTAATAATAATAATAATAATAATAATAATAATAATAATAATAATAATAATAATAATAATAATAATAATAATATTAATAATATTAATAATATTAATAATATTAATAATAATAATAATAATAATCATAATTATGATAATTATAATAAGGATAATGATGATAATAAAACAAGTAAAAGGTTCTAGTCGGGAGCTCCCGACTAGGGGAGGGTTCCCTGAACCCTCTTCTTCCAACATCAAATGCATATATATATTCTATTTTAGAAGGTATATGTCAAGTTTGCTGACTCTAGCTCTTATTATTTACCAAAATTTTTATCGATTGCTTGGAAACGGAACGGGAAATCTGCGCGGGAACTTGGAGCATCTACCTCTAAAATTTCAAGTCTCTAACTCTTATAGGTTCTGAGATCCTTGCGTTCATAGATACGGACGGACGGACGGACAGACAGACGGACATGGCTAGATCGACTCGGCTATTGGTGCTGATCAAGAATATATATACTTTATGGGGTCGCAGATACTTCCTTCTGCCTGTTACATACATTTGGATTTTGCACAAATACAATATACTCTTATACCCATTTTTAATGGGTTCAGGGTATAATTAATAACATTAATAACACATATTGATAATTGATGACCTTTAGTTGGCACTCACCTCGCGGAGTTCTCCATCCTCGGCGAGCAGATCTACTTTATTGCCAACAACCACAATTGGCACCGCTGTGGTCGCCTTTGTCTCATGTATCTGATCTCGTATAGCCCGCACCTCCTCGAAAGTGGACGCATCGGTGACATCGTAAACCAGAATGAAAGCGTCTGCCGATGATATGGATAGGGCGCGCATTGCTGGAAACTGGAAAAGCGAGATGCGGGCGTTACAGTTTTACCAAGCCAGATTACAGTTAATAGGTAAAAGAGGCACCGAGAGAGCAAGAGAGGGAATAAGAGAGAAGGAGGGGCGGGTATTGTGTAAGCGAGAGAGAATGGTTAAAAAAGTGTTGAACAAGCGGCTTAAATTGCAAATAAAATGCTGTTACAAAATTTGCATAATATTATTGTATTTGCATATACACACGCACACATACACACGCCAACGCACACATTTATGCACATATTTTAATAATGACAGATAATAATGTAAATTTTGTTAAGCGTTTCGTTGCTTTTCGCAGGGCGTTGCAGCCCCGCGTTGACTTTGTGCCTCAAACCCTTCCTTTAAAACGTTGTCAAGTTGCAAAAGGAACTTTTCTCATTGTTGTTGGGCAACTCAGCGTATATATGAGTGTGTGAGTATGTGTAGGTTTGTATATATTTAATGCCATGTTGTCATGTACTAGAAGCACAGAAACAGCTTTTTTAAATCGCAATTTTCTCCACATTAAATTTATACTTAAATATTTCTTGAATACCGACTTTTTGGCAATTTTGTTTTGATCATATCAATGTACTTTTTATACCCTTGCAGAGGGTAATATAATTTTGTCGTGAAATGTGAAAGGAGACATCTCCGACCCCATAAAGTATATATATTCTTGATCAGCATCAACAGCCGAGTCGATATAGCCATATCCGTCTGTCCGTTTGTCTGTTTCTATGCGAACTAGTCTCTCAGTTTTAAAGCTATCTCAATGAAACTTTGCAGAAGTCCCTCTTTCTGTTGCACGCAGCACATATGTCAAAACCAGCTGGATCGGACCACTATATCATATAGCTACCATACGAACGATCGGTCGAAAATTAAGTAGTTGTATGAAAAAACATTTTGTTTTTCAAGATATCTTGACCAAACTTCGGCATTTATTAGTTTTACTATGCTCCTCATATACCGACAAAATCATATTAAGATCGGGCCACTATATCATATAGCTGCCATAGGAACGACCGGTCGAAAATTAAGTTTTTGTATGAAAAAACATTCTGTTATCAAGATATTTTGATTAAACACGGCATTTAAAGATTTCACTATGCTCCCTTAATTTTTGCAAAAACTTATTTACCTCGGACTACTTATCATATATCTGCCATAGGAACGATCGGTCGGTTTTTGATTAAAAATCTTTTTTGCTTCTCAAGATATCTTGACCAAACTCGGCATTAACTATTTTCCCTGCTTCTTTGATACGGGCAAAGCACTATAAGCATTATGAAGAGGTTGGGTCTGCAAGGGTATTAGATCTTCGGCGTGCCGAAGATAGCCTTTCTTTCTCGTTTTTTTTTTGCATTTTGTTTTAATATTTAAACTTTTTGATAAATATATTCTTTTTATACCATTTTGTTCGATAAGTTGAGATTGATTTTAGATGTAAATGCTTTCAATAGGAGTCAGAGTCGCTTAAAAAATCGTTTAGTAAATTCTGCAGAGGTCCAGTAAATATGGCTACCATTGTGTGCTTTCTGACCCACTGACATGACCTGGCCTTGAGCTCCATAGGCCGAATGGTCAATCCAAATGCCTTATAGGCTGCCCAAATTGTGAATTATGTTTTGAATCTTTTAACAGCAGCCGACGGTCCAAGGCACACGTACAGAATGAACTCGAACAATACAGGGCAATGTCAACTGGGAGCTAAAACGCATATCCAGGACTCAATTAAGCAAATTTTCGACACATAAAATGTTACCTAAAAGGGCATATACCCTGGCAGACAGAGATGTAAAGTAGCTTCATCATAAACGGAAAAAGTACAAGACTAGTTTAGCAAAAAAGTTGATGAATTGCATTAAATATAACTTTAATTGAAACTTAAAATTCTTGATGGGCGATAAGCCATATCTTTTATAGAGATTATCGAGTCTATCGAGTTGTTAAACGCTTTGCAACACTGCTAGAATTTTGTGAGCGGGTAATTGTGTATTCACACTCAAAATATTATATTCAAAGTTTTTCTTAATTATAAAAACAGATTTTCTTCTAATGCTTGCTGTGTTTGCGTACAATATACGCTATGTAGAAATTCCATTATATATCGAAAATAAAGAGAGACAGGCAGACGAACCGGCACAAACCGGGCACAACGCAGAATTTCAGTTTGTTCTTAACTAAGAACTTAAGCCAAACCAGTTGCCCGAAACACAGTCAAACCAAAACCCAAATCGTACCAGAGTTTTCTTCAAAATAGTTTTGATTCAAATACAAAACTTTGGACGAAGAATCAGCATTAAGGCTTAAATAACTGACAATGTTTTTTTTTTTTTGGATTTTACGGCATTGGAAAATATTAAGAGCTACGAATAAATAAATGGTATTACTGAATGCATTTTAAAATTGATGTAAAAATTAGAATACCTATTTTAAAGGAAAATAGAGCTTCAAATTGAATGGATCTATAGAACCAGATTTTGAGAAAGTACAGGAATTTAAGAAAGAGTTGGGAGCTTAAATGTGTAAAATTGTTTGTGGTGCTGTGTCTGATGTCTGGCTGGTGTCTCCGGTTCTCCCTCTTTCGGCCTGTGACAGGGCTGTCTGGTAGCCACAACCGCAACATTTTGGCCAGTATCTGGCGTCTGCTGCTGTTTGCTTTCATCTAACACTAATGGCTTTCAAAATCATGCGCTCAGCAGCTGGTTTCAAATTCAATGCGCACTGGCCCGGCCGCAGTCACAGGCAGAGGCACAGCCATACCCATGCCACCCATAACACCCAGTTAAGTCTAATCTTCTGCCCAGCAGTGTGTCAGCATGGGTTAGCATTCGTGTCCGCTTGCAGTATAAATTCGAACTGCTGCTGACTGTATTCAGTTGTAGCTGCCACAAGTTAATAAAAAGGCAGACATTGAAATCGATGAGACACGGCACAAAAAACACATCCAAATGAAAAGAATGGAGGCACAAACAATGGCACATAATAGCGCTAGCCACATCTGCCCAACGTCAGGCACACAGGTTAGCTGCGTATGTCTGCTGCATACGCTGCATAATGCCACATGTGACGTCATCATCAACTTTGACCTTGCCCCAGCCCAGTTGGCTACATATAAAATGGAAGCTGTAGTTGCTGTATGGCTTCTATAGATATTAATTCGGGTATGTGTAATTAAATTTTGAAGAATAATACCTATGGCTACACATAACTGAAAGGCACGGATCTCGCACTCGATATAGATAATATAATATTTCAATGTGTTTATTAAGCTACTTATTATCAGAATATACAGATCTAGCAGCGCCTATTGCATCGGCATTATTGACATTTTTGACTTATTTGCCTTATCATGAAATGCACCCTAAGGTGCGACAGGTGAGGCAACGAAAATGTTTCTTGAGTTTCCAGCCATGATAAGAAGTACCCTAAGGCGGCTCCATGTTGCTTTTCGTATGCTTCGATATTTTCGCGAAAGCTTGTGTGTGTGTGTGTGCGAAATGTAACTGTTATTGTTATGCCCTGTAGGCATTAAAATTTGTTAAAAGTGCAGTTTTCTGTTAAAGTTGACAGCCACTTAGGCATGCTGTACAAATTTAACTTACCTTGCAAGTTTAAATGCAATTTTAAATGTGAATTGTTCGATTTCTTTTTTTGCACATGACATTAAAAAAGATAAGTGAAATTTACCTTATTGCAAGTGTCAGGCTTGACAGACTTATGCTCGATATAATATATTTTTGACTTACAGGGCAGCTTTGAGTCAGTCATTCGCGAGTGCAGCATTTTTGAACAAGACGTTGTTTTTGCTGCTGCAGCTGCTGCCATTGTTATTATTACATATTATTGTATTGGAAAACAAGGCGGATGATAAAGGTTGCCACTGGAGGAGCGACAACGGCACCAGCAGAAACAGCAGCAGCAGCAGTGGAAGATGTGGCAGAGCAAGCGCTTGACAGAGCTGTCAATGAATGACCCATTTTTATGCACACTCAACCAGGACGATTGGCAGCAGGCAGACAGTCAGGTGGCAGGGCGATGCCAAAAGCTATCCGGGCCCTATCAACGCGGCGTCTACCTCTCTCTCTCTCTATCTTTCTCTCTCTCTCTACATCTGTCACTTTCTCTCTCTGCGGTTTCCGCTTGTTACACATCCACTGACAGCCTGGCAAGCCAAGGACAAGACCGCAGGGATGAGATTGGCCCGAATTGCTGCTGCTGCTGCTCCTTTCGCATTGTGCATGTGTTTTGCTGTTTGATTTCTCAATGGATTCGAAATTGTTGCCACTTGTCGTGCTGATTGTATGTGTGTGCCTTTCATTTACTCTTTCTTCTTTCGTTTCGAATGCCTTTTTTGACTCTTATTTTTTTGGTGGCAGCCATCCAATTGGATTATAGAGAACAACAGCTGCTGCTATAGCATGTTTTTGGCTGCAGCCAAATGCGATTGTCTCAAAGTTAGCCATTGGCTTAACTCACTTATTGGCTTTTAAGACTTGAGCCCTGTTGTTTCATTTAATTTAAAGCAGCTTCAAATTTCACATACACAAACAAAAGCCACTAAGAAAATGCTCTAATTTTATTAACACCAAGTAACAACTGCCACTTGAGTGTGTGTGTGTGAGTGTGTGTGTGTGAATGTGGGCTTATACACACATATGCATATAAATTTCTTTGTGGCAAAATTAGGTTTCATCTTTTCCATTCTGCTCCTTGTTGCAGGTCTTATAAAATTGCCATAAAATGATTGATGAGGTCTAATTCGAATCCATCCCAACGAATGTTTGTACTGACCTTGAGACCTGTTCCCTTTTATTTTGATGTAGACTTTTCTTTTGATACGTTTAAAACTCATTTTTAAAGTTCTCTGTAAAAGTTTTACCATTCCAAGTGGAATATTGTTAAGTGGGAACATGCTTAATTTCATTCAATTGGTGTCTTATCAGCACAGGCAAAAAAGTTTGAATAATGAATTAGGGTATAAAAAATCACAA